GTATGTCCATGTATGACTGAAAAATTGTGCTGAACACTGGAATTTGACACAACATTGTAAAATGATTATAAATCAATAAAAAATGTCAAAAAATTTATGAAATTTATAGCAAAAATAAATAAATAAATAAATAAATAAAGCCAATTTTTTCAATCATCTGCAACTTGCCTACTATTAACGTTGTATGAGGCAACTGTGGCTCAAAGAGTTCAAGCACTTTGTCCAAGGCCACACAACTAGTCAGCAAAGAAAGCAGGATTCAAGGCTGCTGCCTATGACTGGGTGGGCCCTGCAATCACAGCTCCAGGAGGGGCCATTCACGCTGACTGTGGTGTAAAGGGCGCCCCCTGGAGGGGTGTCGCTTAGGGGTGGCAACGATATTTAAGCCAAGGTGCATCTAAAGCCATATCCTACACTCCTTCCTCTCCCCATTCTACATTAAAAGGTGGGGCATTATACAAACAAGCATGTTACCCTGCATCCAAGTTCAGGGACAAACAATGGGAGAAGAATTATGGGATGAAGATGACCAGTGGTAGTAGAGCCTTCAGTTGCCTTCCACAAATGCAAGGCTGTGAGGGAAGGGGCAGGTCAGGAGAAGATTGGGTTAGGACATGAAGCAGACACGTGCTGCCTGCCACCAGGTTCCCCGTCCTCTCTGGTAAGGAACCCCATTTCCTCTTGGACCACCAACTCCACTGTCATCCCTGGCAGTGGGCGGACCTGACTCTTCCTTCCAGCCTGGAGTCTGTGAGATGCCATGAGACTTCAGGGACCACTCAAAAGAGGTGGCCCTTCTTGTTCCTGCTGATTTGGAATATAGGAAGCTCGTGGTGCTGGGGCGGATGTAGCCCCCCTGCTCCCAGCACATGAGGGCCTGGATGAGAACAGAGTCGCCCAAAGGATGCGGAGCCCAGGGACACCCAGGGCGAACCCCAGGCCCTGGGAAGATTGCTGGAGCCCCTGCCTGAAGCCGCACGGAGAGCCGACCTTGTCCCTGGACAGTTCAGACTGTGAAAGCCAATGAGTTCCATTTTGACTTGTGCCCATTGGGGTTGGGTTTTCCATCACTGGCAGCTAAAAAGCTCTCAGCTGGTTCGGGGGAGGATCCGAGTAGATCTGGAGTAGGGAGCCAGCCGCAGGCACACAGCCGATGCTCGGCAGACTGGCCGGAGCTGGGCTTTTAGACTCTGTGTAAAGAGACAGCCGCTGGCGAGTGCTGCGAGTGAGTCCAACCCCCAAGTTCCTCTGTTTGGAATGTAAAGATCGCTGGAAACAAAATCGCCTGCTTCTTGGACCCAGCCTTCTCTCTGCTATAGGCACAGCTGTCCAGTCTTTCCCTGAGCACAGCTCCACTGCCAAGGAGGAAGGCACAGAGCTCAGATTCTGGGTGCAGATCCCAGCAAACCCACACCGGTGGTGCAGACTGTTCTCCGGGAAGCGGGCCAAGTCTCAGGGTGAGAGGTCGTTCAATCAGAAAGATCTGTCTCACATACCGGACGTCCAGCAGCAGGATGAATGGCTGTGGCCAGAGACAGCACAGAGGCAGGGGTTTAAGAGGCTCAAACTTTCAGGGAAGAGGGGGAGGGTATTGCTCAATGATAGAATGCGTGCTTAGCATGCACAAGGTCCTGGGTTCGATCCCCAGCCCCTCCATTACAAAAAAATAAACAAAAAAAAATAAACCTAATTACCGCCGCCCTAAAGAAATTAATTATAATAAAATAAATTAATAAAACAAAAAAAACCTAAAAAAAATTTTTTTTTACAGGGAATTAATTCATTCTACAAATATGCAAGGCTTGTCCCAGCACCCAGTGGGCTGCCTTGTCCCCCTAGCCTGGGGCTGCTTCAGACAATCAACATGTAAGCTAACTGACAAACAAGCATCGCACCTGGTGGTCGCTGCCCCAAAGGGCAGGGTTTGGGTGTAAAGGTACCGGACAGCGAGTGGACGGGGAAGGAGGTTCTGTTGGGCGGACGCCGTAGCTGAGATGTGGAGGGTAAGAAGGACCAGAGGGTGGGGTGGAGAAGGAGGTCTGCCGTGGGTGCTGTTCCAGGATGAACAACAGACAGGAGTGGTTGGATGAATGAGGGACACGTCTGAATCCACGAGGAGGATATAAAGAGATCTCCAGTGGATTCAGGGAGCGTTCCTGACCAGTAAAGGAAAAGGAGGCAGGTGGCACTTGTGGTCAACGTGCTTACTTTGGGGTACCCAGGACAGAGAGAGAGGGCAGTGAGTTACAGTCCCACCCCCGGACTGTCCTTTATCAGCTGTGTTCCTTTGTGTGGCTGAGACAGACATTCCTCACAATCTTGGTGTCCTTCCGTAGCCACATCTGGGGAATCAAAGATGCCCTGCCCAGTGTGCCCATCAGAGGGGCTCACCAAATTTCCAGCAGGCTGTGGTCCACTGTGATGCTGGCTGAGCCCCCCCCCCCCCCGGGATCACTGCTCATGTAGGGTCAGCTGTGTCCGGGCGAGGATTCAGAGCCCAAATCCTCCGTCTTGCTCTTTAAGGAGGAGACTTTCTGGCCACTTCCCTGCTCTCTCTGAAAACCCGGGGGGCATTTGGAGAGTAACCTTCTGTTTCTGCCTTCTTAAAGCAAGAGATTAGACACAATATCCAGTGTTCACGGAGCGTGTCCTGGCTAAGATTCCCAAAGCCTTGCACAAACACCAGCCCTGCTTTGCAGCACGGCCGGGGCTAAGAGTTTGTTATTGCTGGAAGCAGGGGAGCTCTGGGTAGGTCAGGGTCAAATACCAAAGTTAATCTGGGACTGAGGGGAAAAATGGGAAAAATACCTCAAATCTAGGTTTCTTCATTTGGAAAAGTGCAATGTCAAATCCATATCAAATATAGCCCCTTAAAACGATCTTTTCTTACATAGATTAGCCGAAATATTACTCATAACTGTCAAGCTGTTACCACAATCCAGATCCAAATTTCACTTAAACCTAAATCATAAGACTTTTTTGTTTTTATTATAAATCATGACTTTTAAATGGTAAATAAATTCTTCTCATTATTCTTAGTTCAATGTCAAGACCAAAAGACAGTAAGGAACAAATATTCCTTGCTGGTGCCTTCAGTGGCAACCTCTGGGACATCACTGGGATCTTCAGTTATCTTAAAGTCAGGCGTGAAATTCTTAAAACGAAATTAATGTTGATTCACTCTAATCTTAAACACAGCAACATGACATATCCTATGTCTTATATGTCCATTACATCCATGAGTTGCCTACAAAGGTGGCACCAGGAAATGACATTTATGGGGCCCCTACTGCATGGCAGATCGCATCCAAGTCACATTCACACACGTGATCTTGTTAACCCTCCAGCGACACTGAGAGATAGGCATTGCCTCTATTTCACAGAAGAAGAGACTGACGGTCAGAGAGGCAAAGTGACTTGCCCGAGTTTACATAGCAAGACTTTGGATTCCTAATTCATTCTGCTTCTTACTCAGGGTCCATTTGAATCAGGAGACCACACTGGCCTCCTCTGCCAAGGTCAGAGTGAGGCTGTAGAAAAGGAAGGAAAATAAGATGGTGAGTAAAGTCTGAGATAACTTCTTGGATGTAGACGTGCCGTTGCAGGTTGTGGAAGAGAACTAGGCTTTGGGGAGATCGCTCAGACCTTTATGGCAAGGCTGTCCTGTCCTTAGCAGCTTTGTTAAGAAGCACACCAGTTTCTTAGTTTTCTTCTCAAAAACCAGCTCCAGAGATCTATCCAGTGAGGCCTTCATCATGTTTAGAACTTTTTATTGCTCTAAAATAGGAACCAGCTGTTGCAGAAAAAACATTAGTCTAAGATGTTGGCCTGTGCAACGTTCAAGAAGCTTCCCTTCCCTCGGGGTCACCGTGGGGATAGGACAGTCACCTGCTCTCAGCTCCAGGGAAGCCCAGCCTCTCAGAGTCTCATGGGCTCCTTGGAATCTGCACCCAGCAGTGCCAGGCCCAGTGCCTCACAACGTCCCCTGCACACACTAGGTGATCAGGAGTACACTTGACATGGTCGTCAAAGTGAATATGCACATAACATTTAGAAAAAAGGGCCAGCCCTCCTGTCATTAAAGAAAGGATGGTTTCATCTTCTGTCACCTTTCGGGGGCCTGTGATGGCAGTTCTCCCAACCTTGACTACGACAAAGCGGAATCTGAGCGGCCAGGGAGTGAGTACTTTCTCATGGTGTTTTAGAGAGTCAGTGTTAATAATCTATTTATGATTTGCAGGGTTTTGATTACTCTCTGGAAGTATGAAGGAGGCAGATAAACCGGTTTGCAAAATAAGATCAATAACATAAAAATAGCTCCACGTAGAGGACTTTCTCAGGCTGTCGCTAAACTGGTGCTTGTAAAGGACTGTGGTTGAGAGGACAGAAGAGAAATGTCTGAATATATCAGAGGAGAAGTAAGGAAATAGAAGAGAAGGCAGAGGAATTGGGTTAAAAAAAAAAAAAGGCCCAAGCCTCTCAGCTTTGTGTACTTCCAGGGACCACGCTTTTGTTCCAAGCAGGCAGCATTTTATTCTGTCTGTGGAAATCAACTAGGGAGCAATTTCCAGTGTCTGGGAGGGAAACGAGAAAAGAGGCAAGTTTGGTCATCTTTGTCTTTATTTCGACTGCGGTAAACAGGGGTGACTAGACAGAGTTTCCTGGTGTGAGAACTTTGGGAAGTCATGTTATTAGGAACACTGTTCACATGGGTCACAACTCCTCCAACTTTCTGGTTTGCCGAACTTCTACTGATCCTGTGAGACCAGTTTAAATGTCTCCTCCCCTTGGAAGCCTTCCCGGATTTCTCCCTGTCGCATTATCGTTAATGTAATGACACTACCTTTCCTTCCAGTGTTTATCATATTACAGTCGTTATTTTTCACACAACTAACACCACGTCCACTCCTTGAAGGGAAGGCTGACTTTTGCATTCTGTATGTCCAGCATCTGGCAGAGTGCCTGGCACTAACGAGGCGCTCAATTAATCTTCATATTGCTATTAGCTACTCTGAAGCTGAGATCTGCGTAAAGCGCTAATGGTAGTAAGTAAATAAAAAGAAACTAGAGAGATGAAGACAAAAACAAAACCCAAGGAATCGCTAACAAAGACAAAAAGTATGCAATTTAACCAACCTTCTCACCTCCCGTCAAGGAAGCGCCAATATTTTCTTCTTTACATAACATATGCAAACTTGGGTTTTCAAGGGTAATTATTTCCTGGCAACTCTGGAAGGGCAGCTCTGAACAAGAAACAGGTGATGGCCACGCTAAGAGCGGTTATCTAAGCAGGGAGCCCCAAACCATTCGTGTGTATTTGTTGTCAGATCAGGAAAATGTGGATTTATCCTTTTGACTTGGGTTTCACCGTGTTGTGAAATTGATGCCGGGCGGTCCCTGTCAGTCCCTAGTCTCACTTTCCAGGGGGAAACTACCAGGGGGAGACTCATCTCACGGAAGATGGGGGAGTGGGGAGGAGGAGGGAGAATTTAATGTCACTGATGTTCTTATCCAGTTGCAGCAGCTTAAATGGGGGAGGGCTGCACCCTGGAGCCTTTCCCCCCCCGTTTCTCCAAGTAGCCCAGGGACCAGTACCCTGAACTCTGTGTCAGAGCCACCCTCCCACCCACCTAAGGAAAGACCCCCCCTGGGAGCAACAAGACACAGCAAGATGTGCCTGCCAACTTCCAGACGGCCCCTGACTCATGCTAAAAAGAATGAAAAAGGATAGATCCATCCCCAAACACTCCCAAAGTGAAAAATAAAGAGCAATAAGCTCTTTAAAATAATTAATTAGGGGAGAGGTGCAGTCCTTGGACTGACAGTTACCTGTTTGAGCCACACGTTCGTTGTCATCAGCTGATTCTTTTCATCCTAAGAAAATGGTCATTAAAAGATGTAAATTCAAATTAAGTGAAACTGTGTGTTAGATTTCTTTCTTTCTTTCTTTTCTTTCTTTTTTTTTTTTTTTGCTCAAAGAGATTTCTCTGAGTCTTACGTTGGAGGGGTCCAAAGTGAAAAAGATTCTCAACTTAAGAACAGTGAAATGGCAGTGGAACTTAAAATATTATGCATATTTTGCTTAAAATGAAAAATAATTAAAGCAAGTCTCAGTTCATTGTAGTGATATTTATATACAATTGCATAACCCAAAAGGCACGGTAAGGGTGCGAGGTAGAACAAAATATTAGCTAAATCAGAGATGGCTTTGCATGATTTTCTAAAAGGAATTCTGGGCATTGAGCCAGCTGGGGTGGAGTGTGTATGCTTGTGGTGGGGTGGGGGATGTGGGCAGTGGAGGATTATTCTGGGGCTCTGGGGACCAGAGCAGGACGGCTTTGCAGAATTTGGGGTGTTAAAGTTCATTGATTTCCCCAGGGACATATCTGTGGCAGAAGTGTGAGCCCGATAGAAAAACTGGAGGAGCATGTTAAGGCACAGGTGTGTCGGGAAAGGTACAAGGTCCCAAGGGGATTCAGGAGAGGATGGGTTCACCCAGGGACTCACTCCTGCACGGTCACCACCTGCCCTCTCTCCCCGCCGGCACCCTTGCCAGCCCACGCTCAGCCTGGATGCTCAGCCCATGACACTGAGGCAGCCCAGGGCTCAGCCCCACTCCTCCCTCTGGGGCTCACCTTGGCTGTTCCAGCAAACCCGCCTGGGGTGACGCAGCCACCCTCCCACCCCAACCCCAGCTAGATGTTCCCTGCCAACCGTGTTGCAACGAAAATGACATTCCCATTCTTTCCTTGAGTCATTTCACTAGCTTCTTGGGGCAGATTTCCTCTCTCAGTAAGTTATTTTTGAAACTGAAATGGCAGACATGGGCAAAGAAAGCAAAATAAAATCATAGCCCCGAGAATGAGTAAAGGAATGCAGTTCTTTTTCGCTTAGGGCCGAGGATTACTCACCACATCTACGAGCTGAGATATTTTCAATCCAAAATAGACTTTTATGGTGTCATTAGCATGTAAGACGGGGCGAACCCATTTCTGGTAACCTTGGAATAAATGTCTGAGGAGCGCGTCTTCTTGCTCCACGAGTGACCTGAATCCTGCGGCGGCTGTTAAGACACAGGGGACCGGAATTAACTGGGGAGACAGGATCTCGGGGTCCACAACCCACAGCCGGACCTTCGTGTATTTCTGAACAGCCCCATACAGCAGAGGCAGTGCTGAGGCTGACCCACTCAGCTCCCTCCCCAAACGCACAGCTAAGAGCAGGCTCCTTTCTGTTTCTTTAAAGGTTGTGTCTACTTGATGGTGGATGTTTGCTAAGCTTATTGTAGGAATTGTTTCACGATGCACATAAGTCAAATCATTCTGCTGTGCACCTGAAACGTACACAGAGCTGCCTGTCAACTACATCCCCGTAAAACCGGAAGAAAAATACATAAATAAAAGTAGACTCTATGCTTCACCCAGAGCTTTACTGTCTCACAGGACTTTCTCACCGCGGTATCAGCACCTGGACCCCAAAAGGATCATCTACGGCCACCCCTTACCCTGAACCTCACAACTCGCCAGCTGACAGATGTGGTCTCTGCCTGTGAGCTGCTGTCCCCACTGGGCCCAGGTGGCCCCTTTACGTGCTTGTCACAGTTTCTCCTATTTTTGTCCTTGTGGGTCCTCCCCTCGAGTTCCATGAGGGCAGGCACCGTCTCCGTTGTATCTGGTGACCCTTATCCAGCACCCAGTACAGTGCCTGCCCCCAGTAGGAGCTCATCTTTTTTCTGTTTATGGAGCGAACCTGTTTTCCATGCATTCAGCACCTGTTGCCGGAACACCTGCATGCGCCCTGTGCTGTTCTCTCCCCTTCTTCCGGTGGAAGTCTTCCCTTTCAGACCTTTCCCGGCCAACAACCAGGTCATAACAACAACTCACCTCTGCCCCTAAATGTGCGAAAGCTTAAGAAACACCCTGATTTCAAGCTTCAACCCTCAAGTCGAAGGAGTGGTTTAGGAATGCTGTCTAGAGACCAGTTTTGCTTCTTTTCAGTGCTATGCTATCCCATTGAAACATAGATTGTTAGTTAATTTTCTTTGTTGTTTTATTAAACATAGCCTCTCTTCATTTGCCCAGCACCCTAGTAAATCCCACAGCCGCTCATTCTGCCCCATATGCTTTACCATAGAAAATTTTCCCTCCGCCTCCCACGCCCGCTGAGAGACGCACCTGATGGGCGGTGGTCACGTGCAGGACACCCCCCAAGTTTACCCAAAAAAAACCCCAGAGATTCTCTGTGGGGGAAAAAAGCAAAAATAGCACACACTCCACGCATGCGCATGAGAAAGTCACTTAACCAAGGGAGTTGTCATTCGAAATGCATTCGTAATGCTTCTCCTGGGGTGAGCAGGGTGTGGATAACAGTGCTCCGGCTGCCCCGCCTTCTCTTCCGTTCCAGAAATCTCAAGAAGATGCACGGGAGTGGTCGAGATGTAACCTTACATTTGTGCTTGTTTGCTCAAAAAGCTAACCATTCCCAACTTTGATCAACTGTCTATTCTTAGCAAGCGGGGAGGGGCTGCCAGGGCAGCACTCAGTACAGGACCTAAAACCTTCCTGGACACGCGGGCAGTGGGGGCGCGAGGACAGGCAACTGAAATTCCCCGAAGCCTTCTGAGGGAAGAGGTTTCGCTTGCTCAAGCTGAACGTCAAGATTCCCTGCCCCACGTCCGGGCTCAGCTTCCTCCAAAGTACACTGCAGCCCTGATGGCTTCCCAGCAGCTCTGCGGGTGCCGCCCCACCTCAAACTCCATCATCTCCCGCTGGGATTCGTGTGCTGCTTCCTAATAGCTTCACTCTTGCCCCTTTCACAGTCCATTTCCCACCCAGCAGCCAGACCATCTCTCCCAGGCAGAAGAGGATTATGTCAGTTTTCCTCTCAAACTCTCCCAATGGCTTCCTATCAGACGTAGAAAAAACACACCCAGATCTTACCATGGTCTCCCAGGTCCCCTGTAGGCACTACCCTTTGGCTCTCTGCCCTCACTCCCTCGTCCCCAGTGCCTCAGCCCGGCTGCGCTTTCCAGGACATGCCAGCACATTTCTGCCCTGGGAAGGTTCTTGCCCTAGAGAGCCCCACGCTCCCTTCCTCCCCGTGCCCTGTCCTTGCTTGCATTGTCTTCCTCTGAAGGGGTCACAGAGGTTACACTGTAGTAGGGAAGAACAAATCTGACTCCACCTTAGATCTGTTCCTTTAGCCCTGTTTCCTGGGCTCAGACATGCAGGTTCTGCACCTTTTGTAAAAAGATGTTGCCTAGAGCCTGAAATATACAGGAGAGCCCACTCTCCAGGCTCTGACCTTTAAGGGTGTAACACTTTCCATTCATACAGAGATAAAAAGTTGCAGAACAGAGAATTATACTCCTCTTGTTGGAGGTTTACAGGAACATCGTGACCTGACCTACGTGGACAGCTGTGAGAACAAAGGATTCCGACACCAAGAAGTTTGCAACAACCAACCACACCCCCTCCCTTTTTTAGTAAAAGGAGCCTGAATGCTGACTTGGGGAAAACGGTTGTTTAGGACATTCCTTCCCCCATCTTCCTAGTCTGCCAGCTTTCAGAATAAAGTCTCCCTATTTATTGGCCTGTCGTGCTGTGAGCAGAACGGGTTTGGACTCGGTAACAACAGGATCTGAAGTCCCTCCCACACAATCCAGCCCCTTGTGTAGGTGTTACAAAATTTAATAGATGATTTAAAAAATCAACAAACTAGTGACTATAACAAAAAAGAAGCAGATCTAGAGAACAAACTAGTAGTTACCAGTGGGGGGAAGAGAGGGGTCATATCAGGGGAGGGGATTACAGGGGACAAATTACGATGTACAAAATAAGCCACAAGGATATATTGTACCACATAGGGAATACCACCAATATTTTATAGTGACTATAAATGGAGTATAACCTTTAAAAATTGTGAATCACTGTATTGTAAACCTATAACTTATGTACTATTATAAATCAACTATATATCAATTACAAAACATAACAGATGAAACTTCCCATGATTATTTATGGTTTTCTGGAAAAACAACACCATTGTTTACCCTTAGGTGAGAGAGGAAGGAAATAATTGAAGAATTTCAAACCTCAGCAAGTATGGTTGGGAGAGGTGTATTTTTGATTTGACCCCCTTTTGGTATATTTTGGGTTTGCCTTCCATTATCACCATCTCGTCCAAAAATATCAGACCACAAATATGATAGCTTTTTCTGTCAACGCACTGAGCTAGCGCTCAGAGTGGAATCAAATAATAAGTATTTCATGGAGTCTCGCTAGCATGAATGTTTCTTAGAACAACTTCACATCCCGCATGCTGGAACTATTCGTAGGATATGGTAGATTTTTTTTTTGGTGGGGGGAGAGGTAATTAGGTTTATTGATTTATTCATGTTTAATGGAGGTACTGAGGATTGAATCCAGGACCTTGTGCATGCAAGGCATGTGTTCTACCACTGAGCTATACCCTTGCACCCCCAGGTATGATAGATTCTTGATAAATAATTACTGAATGACTAACACACGTCATCATGTGGTGAGAGGGATGGGGAGATGAATTCTGGGAGCAGACACACACACATGCAAAGGGTGGATTAGTAACACGAGAGAAGCCACGTGGCCATAGGCAGTGATCCATCCGCCAAAGTCAGAAATACAGAAATGAGGGGTTGTGCCTTGTAAGTTGAAAAAAGGTAGTTTTGTGTAACAAAAAGAGACTATTTTACTGTTTGAGCAGTAAAGTTAAAGAATGTAAGGAAAGGTGGTACAGATCTAAAAATAGACATAGATGCTAAAGGATCTGGAAGTAACAAATTTGGGAGCTACTACGGATTATTAAGCAGATTTATTATAGATCTGTGACAGATGTACACAGCTCAGTCTGCATCCCCAAACTAAAGCCTGCACAGGAAAACGAGGACCAGGCTGTCCTCCAATTCCAGTTCTCTTATGTCACCATGACTGTGCAGAGGAGGATGCCTGCGTGAACCATGAGGGGCTACGCTAACTAATCTTGCTCACGAGGGAGATGGCTTCCCTGCAGAAAGAATGGCAAGAATCAATGCTTTCTGTTTTAAAAAATTAGTTGATTTATTTATTTTAGATTTGGGGGTGGGATTGGGTCTGTTTATTTATTTATTTTAATGGAGGGACTGGGGATTGAACTCAGGACTTTAAGCATGCTAAGCATGCATTCTACCACTGAGCTAGACCCTCCCCTCTAAGAGTCAATTCTTTCATAGTAAATAGGATGCTCTAGTAAATTAAGGCAGCAAAACACTGGATATTAACTGCACACTGAAACACACAGCAATTGATTATGATTTTTACTGTTGGCAAAACTGCAGGTAAGACGTTTGCTGAGACCAAAGCAAGTTTGATGCTCTTTGCACTTAGAGACGACTCTGTTTGTTTTTGAGTCCCAGGTGTCAGGATTTCTGTGTGTGCCCTCTAGTCTGACAACTTTCAAATCCAGGATTTATTTCAGGACTTGGGCAAATCTATCTCAGTGCCTCCATCTGAAAATTTCAATAAACAAATGTGGCAAAAAAAAAAATACTGTTGACACATAAATACAAATTGCTAATGGAACACCACTTCTCGCCAGATGGCTCCTGGCTGGATATAGTTTCTGGTGTAGCGGGAAGTGCTCTCCTTTCGTAAGTTAAATGAAAAGGGAAATAATTTCAAAACCCAGAAAACTAACAGGTGACAAAGACCACTTTCTCCTCCACTTTCCAGTGATTTTCTTTTTTTTCTCCCTCTTCTCTTCTTTTTCTAATTACCTACATACACCAATTTACTAAAGTATTTTGTATCTCCATGCTATATTGGACAATTGAGCAGCTACACACAGATATAATATTAAAATGCTGATATAGTCCATTTCTGTGCCAAATATTTTAACAGTTCTTTGAGTACCATTAAGTGCATTTGGTAATATTTCTCCTGCTTTTCTATCTTCCTACTGAGCTCATGATGATTCAAAAGGAATAACATAATAAATGAGAAAAGAATAAACATCATGGAATTCATAGACATGATTTCTTTAGCAATATACAGATGTCATAGAATTACTCACCAGAGCCACATTTTACAGGTTATCCTAAAGATACCTACACATTAAATTTTGTAATTCTAACGTTATCAGCACCAACAATGATCAAGGTTTAATTCACTTAAGGTTGAGCTTACCTGAGGGGGTGACCCCCAGGGCACTGAGCACCAGGATAAAGTCTGTCAGCTTCATGATGTCCGCATTGGAAAGATAATTCCTTCCTCTTTAACCTCAGGGTATTTCCATCAGAAAGGAGGGCTTGGGGAAGAAAATGCAGTGCTTCAAAGTCCAAAGTACAGCCCAGAGCGAGCGGACACCTGGAGGGGAGCAGCCCTAAGTGTCTCACATCAGTGCAATGTCTCTGAAAGTACGCCTCATTGATCTCCAGGCAGCTGTCAGATCATGTAAGTCTGAGAAGTATCTCTGGGTCCTAACTCCTGACTTATTAATGCACTCTCTCGCAAAGAGATGCAGGGCACTGAGAGAAGATGGAGCCCAGCAACTTCTGAATGCTCTGGGCTATTTTTCTCGTAGTTGGAGGTCTGTGTGAAGGGGAAAAACCACATGTGAAAACATGCATCAGGGAAGCTAAGTGAAAAGTTTTTCCAACATAGTATTTCTCCATCGTCTCTTCATTTTGACATGGAGCTTAAGAATTACAGAGATGAGTGGGTCAAAAGATCCAAACTCCCAGTTATAAAATAAATCCTGGGGATGTAATGTACAGGATGGTGATGATAGTTAATAATACTGTGCTGTATATTTGAAAGTTGCTAAAGTAGTAGACATTAAAAGTTCTCATTACAAGAAAAGAAATTTTGTAACCATGTGTGGTGATGGGTGTTAATTAGACTTACTGTGGTGATCATTTCACAACAGACACAATGAATATGTTGTGGTCCTGAAACCAACCTGTTATATGTCAATTGCAGCTCATTTTTTTAAATGAATAATAAATATGTCCTTTAGTGCCCTCATCCAGTGGTTCTCATGTGTTATAAGGTCAAAGCATCCTCTGTGGTTGCCTCGAGCCACCAGGTCCACCTGATGGTCCACAGGAGAAAAGATGGTCAGAGAGTCGTCTTGTTTTCCTCCCGGGACTTGGAGGCTGAAATCGCCACCCTTTTCTTGGGTTCACCTTGTTCACGGTGGGGGCAGGTTCTCGTCTAGTTCAGTGCTGTCCACACGCAGAGGGCCCTTAAAAATGCAAATAATCTGATGATGGGGCAAGAGTAAGGGCAACGCACTCCGGGGCGCTGACAATCCACCTGAGCCACACTGATTTACTCCAATTAAAATTTCCCAGTAGGATCTCATTCAGCCCCCATCGAGGGCATCAGCAACTTCCAAACAGCAGGTGGCGCTCAGTCAGGAACCAACATGGAATCAAAACAGCCCCGCCTGGGAGGCAGGACCACGCCCCCTCCCCCAGCCCCCTGACCGCTCTTCCCTCAGAGACCCCCTCACACTGCGCAGCTCTCCCTTTTCCGGACCACGGGCTCCGAGGACGAGGACGGATCTCCAGTGCCCATCACATGCGGAAGCTTCAACGAGCTGCCTGAATGGAAGAGGAAGGAAACAATTAGACATTGATTTCCTATCCATCTGAATTGTGTCCCAGGCCCGCTGTGAATTTACAGCCGTCTTAGGAATTAATCAGGCACTAACCCAGGGGTGCAGGAAGTATCACCTTTCTTTATTTTCAATAAATCAAATAAAATGGAGCTTGCTGTTCCACTGAGCTGGCAAGAAATTCTGTCTCCATCATTATGGGAGCTCCAGCCCCTTGTTAAGGGCAGCAAAAGAACTGGGGCTTTTGTGACCCCCAAAACACAAATAGGCCTTGTAGCTTCCAGTCCGTCTTGACCACAGCAGAGGGTTGGTGGCCGGCCCACGTGGTCCCTACGGACGTGGCAGCTGGGCTACCTTTTGCCTGGAAGTCTGGGTGATAGGATCCCTTGGTCGCTGGTCCCGGCTGCTGGAGGGACCAGCCAGTCTCTGGGAATATCTTGCCTATTTCCCCCTGAAACTGACGCCTTTCCCCCTGAAAAGACACTGACCTTGTCTCCATCCCACTCTGGAAATCTCAAATAATCCCTTCAGTGAGTTGAGACTTTCTGTGAGCAGACATCAGACAAACAGGAAGAGGCTGTCTTTAAGCAGCTTCTGCCTTGGGTCTCTGGAAACACAAGGAGCCTAACTCCTTTCTTGGGAAACGTAGAAGAGAAAAAAAAAGAGAGAGAGAGAACAAAACACAAATTCGTATCTCACAAAAATCGTCCTGTTCTGAGCCGAGTTGTGTTCTGTCCCTCACCTGTTCTTATAACCAATTATAAACACCAGGTGGGCAGCTGCCTGGGGGGTCGGACGGGTGGTGTCCATCCATCCAGAATACTCGGAAGATCTCTCTCGTGGGCAGGGCATACCTTTGCAGCCTGAGCAAAACGGCTGCTCGTCCAGCACTGACCAAGCGTGCTCCCTGCGAGGGGTGAGCCCGCTCCTTCCCGGGAGCCGGGAAAGCTGCCCAGACCACTTCCGGGAGAGGCGACGTGAGAGCACAAAACAAAACTAAGGTGACGGGAAACAGATGGGCTTTCCCTTTAAGACTGAAGAAGTTACGATTCATATTTTTTAAATTGTGAAAATAGTACAATTCTAATAGTGAATTTTAAGAAGACTTACAACCCATCTTCCTAATCTAAACACCATCAAGAGTTTGGTCTATTTCCCTTCGCTGCACGTGCCTCGATGGGCGCACACACACCACGCATGCGCACACAGCACATATGCGCACTCAGCGCGCGCGCACACACGCATGCGCGTGTGCACATCACACATGGACGCACCACACATGCGCACATGAACGCACACGCACCACGCACGTGCTCGCGCGCGCGCACACACACAGGCACACAAGCAGTCACACTTGTTGTCTAATTTGTACACAAGCCCATCCTCCAGCCGAACTGTTAACTGATTATAAGGGAAAACTTGACACCATTAAAAGGAGGATGTTTTGATACCAACTTTGAGAACAGGAGGAATTTGGAGAAGTTATTTCATGACCTCTGTGGAGACGAAAAGGACAATTATCCATGTTCCCATAGTACTATTAAGTAACCTCAGGGCTGGCGGAGCCGCCCTAGACAGGGGTGCTGGTTACTAAACCAAGCCAGCCTGGAGAAGTTTCCCCTGGTGGCCTCCCCTGTGCCTGGCACTGCTGCATTTCCATCTCTGGAGTGTTTCTTTAGCGGCATGGACGATGTGCTTAACAGATGGGCAAACAACACAAAAATAAGAGGGTCAGTTTGATAGCCAAGGTCCTTCCAGTACTAAACTCTGCAGCCATGTCACCCACTGTACGTGACAGAATCAAAATTTGGAAAGACTTCAAAAGGCTAGGATGTTCGGCCCACATGAAGGAGGTAAAATCAATGAAAGTGACCCCATTGCTGTGAATTGGGACAAAATGTGTCTGTTCCTGTGTCCAAGTCACCCCACAACAGGCCAATAAATTGAGAGACGAGGTGTTGGGTCAAGGAATAGTGACTTTATTCAGAAGGCCAGCAGGCCGAGAAGATGGGGGTCTGGTGTCCTGAAGAACCATCTTTCCCAAGTCGGAATTCAGGCTCCTTTTATACTGAAAGGGGGGGTGTGTGGTTGGTTGTTGCAAACTTCTTGGTGTCAGAATCCTTTGTTCTTGTAGCTGTCCATGGAGGCAAGTCATGGTGTCCCTGCAAACCCTGGACAACACAAATGTGATTCTGTGTCCTGCAACTTTTTATCTCTATATGAATGGAAAAGTGTTATACCCTTAAAGGTCAGAGCCTTGAGGGTGGGCTCTCCTGTATATTTCAGATTTGTTCTTCTCTGTTACATATCTTTCTTATTTATGATTTTATTTCTACAAGAAAAAGTTAGTTAGAAAAATAAATCACATTGAGGTGTATAATTAATGAATTGCCTTTATCACAAAGAATACAACTACACAGCACTGAGTCTCTGGGTACCTGTAAGAATGTCTTTGTCTAGGGACACGTGTTATAAGAAAGTTATGTTCATCTAGGGGGAGTCAGGAGACCTAGGGTCTAGAAAGGAGGCTTTATGAGAAAAATAAAGAGCAAGAAGTTTAGATCAGAAAAAAAAAGGTCTTAGGAAACCGTCTTTTTGCTGTGAAATGTTAACCTGTGATGGTTAACCCCTCTACACCAATGCCGTTTTACAGGTGAGGAAACTGAGGTCCATGTCACATGTCATTGTCCCGTGTCCCATGGATAGATGAATGGTGGCTGAATCGGGCCAGAGCAACGTCCACTGACACTAACCAGACAGAGAAACCAGAGTGGCGAGAACACCCAGCCTGCCTTCCGAAGGCCCATCAGCCCCACCCCTCCCCAGTCACGCATCAAGGATGTACCAGCCCTCTTCTCTGGCCCTTCTACATCCTCAGTCACTTCCGCTGCAGCCTGACTGCCCATGTCTAGCAAGCAGCACTCCAGTTTCAAATATTCTATCTTCTTACCACCGGGAGGGTGTTTTGTGGGAGAGGTTAGTAATGGGTGTTAGTGTTCATAGGAGTCAAAAGGTCTGGAGTTTCAGTGTCTGAACTTGAAAGTCTCACTGCCTGCCTTTCCTTTGATGGCTAAAATTTCACCCTAGAGATCATTCCTAATTTAATTTAAAACTGATTTAAATAAGCTAATTTAAATTAATTTTAATAAGTTAATTTAAAGTCATTCTTTAATTTGGCTTAAAACTTATTAAATCCAAGACCCTGGGAGGGGCAGTCTTAACCCATTTTCTTCTTTGCAGAGATATGACATCTTCCCTGTAGTAACATTTCTCATTATCTGTAGCGATCTGAAAATCATGGCGTTTAAATAAGTGTCAAATTCTCTCCTGAGATGAAAAGAATGACAGGCAAGGGCTCCTGGGAAGCTTTGCCGTCCAACCCTGGGTCCTGCGGAGTAGACACCAGGACCAGAGACTGGGCGACGCGCAAGGGGCGGTGCGGGGTTTGGGCGCCCCCTGCTGGACTGTAGATCCCACTGCAGTCTGATGCCGGCAGGCCCCCTTTTAAAGGATGTATGCTTTAACTAGGTTTTTAAATTAAAGTCTAGTCAGTTTACAATATTGTGACAATTTCTGGTGTACAGCATAATGTTTCAGTCATACACTTACATACATATATTCCTTTTCATAGTCTTTTTCATTAGCGGTTACTACAAGATATTGAATAGAGTTCCCTGTGCTACACAGTAGAAACTTGCTTATCTGTTTTATACATAGTAGTTAGTATCTGCAAATCTCGAACTCCCAATTTATCCATTCCCACCCCTTTCCGTCTGGTAACTATAAGATTGTTTTCTATGTCTGTGAGTCTATTTCTGTTTTGTAAATATGTTCATTTGTGTC